TTATTTACTTATTTTAATCTATTGTTATTTATTTTAATCTATTTACTTATTTATTTATTTATTTTAATCTATTTATTTATTTACTTATTATTTTAATCTAATTTGTATTTATATACTGACGTATTTACTCATCTGTTTATTTATTTACCAATTTTACTCTTATTTGTTTGTTTATTTATTGAAAACTACTTCTATATATTTTAATATAATTTGCATTTATTTATTAATTTATTACGTTTGCATTTGCTTATTTTAATCTATTCATTTATTTATTTGCATCCTTATTTTAATCTATTTTGTATTTATTTAAATCTATTTAATATTGTATTTAATATTGTTTAATAATAATAATAATTTAATACTTTAATAATTATTATTTCATAATATTATTTATTTAATTTCTCATTTATTTACTTGTTTTAATCTATTTTTATTTATTTAAATACAATACACATTTATATAAACAACATTTTGTATTTTTATCTAACTTTTATTTTTATTCATTTATTTATTTTTATTATTTAAAATATTAATTCATTCATTCATTCATTCATTATTTACTTGTTTTAATCTATTTCTATTTATTTTTATTTAATTTGGATTTTTTATTTATGTATTTGCTATTTTAATCTATTCACTTGTTTATTTACTTTTTACAGCCCGTTGTCATGGAAACTAGTGTGCACTACAGTGGCCAAGTTCAGTGCTCTGCACAGCAGTCAACACGCACCCCATCAATGCATTTAGTGCAGAACTATAAACTCCAGCTCAGCAAGTGTGTGATCAGCCACAGGAACCACATTTTACCAAGAACATAGAAAGCAGTAAATATGCGTATGTGACCACTGTTGTTGAAATAGGTCGCACCACTGATATTCCCTGAGAAGTTCAAGAACTACGCTAGAAAACTGCACACATTTAATAGATGTGGAGTAAGAACAGATAAGAGCAGAAGTTCTGTTTTGTGTTCATCTGCTCTTTTTACATTGACTTTCACTCTATATAGACTCATACAATCAGATACAACAATCATTTCTCAAATATTTATTACAATATACTGATAAACTGAATCATCATTAAATTTTTTTCTACTCATTTTATCACTATACTGGTATATGTATTATTTATTTATTTTGTTTATTATTTACACATTTAATTTTTAACCCCAATTTATTTTTTACATATTTTCATCTATTTATTTACTTATTCGTTTAATTATTTGACTTGTATTTAATCTATATTTATTTATTTATTTTAATGTATTTTTACTTATTTATTCACTCATTTATTTACTTAATATAATATATTTATATTTAATTTAATCTATTTTTATTTGTTTGTTTTATTTATCAAAGCATTGGTCAGTAATACAGTTAAAATGGGGAAATATAGAAAATAGAGCACAGATGCTTCCCGCAGGTCTGACTTCACATGTTCATATGTTTCATAACCAAATGTGACACATATAAGTTTATGCAAAATGACGATTATTGGTGAATAATGATGTAAAATTCACATAAAGCATCATACGACTTCAGAAAACGACTGTGTTTTTTCTCTTTTTGGACATATAAAATGAGTAACAGCTTGTGAATCTGGAACAACAACTTTCTAGACGTATTTTTGAGCGAACTATCCCTTTAACAATGATTCATGTTTGTCTGCGCACTGAATCTGAGACAGAAAGCCAGACTTACACAAACTCAGAAACACAGATCATACGTGTTCGCTCTCAGTGATGCAAGATATCGCAATCTTTGCCGTGGATACACACTAGTTAGAAAACAACTGAGCACACGGCTAAGAAATACATATTTAACAGCGCTCGAGAACTAATACTAGATGCAGGTCAATCCGGCACAACTGGCTCATGATTGTACATCTTCTGCTCAACAAGGCTGCATTTATTTAATCAAAAATACAGTAAAAAATGTGACATATTATTGTAATTTAAAACAGCTGTTTTCTATGTGAATATGTGTTAAACTGTCATTTATTTCTGTGATCAAAGCTGTATTTTCAGCATCATTACTCCAGTCTTCAGTGTCACATGATATCTAATATGCTGATTAAATGAAACATTTCTGATTATTATCAATGTTGAAACTGCACAATGTTTCTGTGGAAACCGTGATGCATTTGATTTTTCAGAATTCACAGATGAACAGAAAGTTCAAAAGAACAGCATTTCTTTTGTGACATTATACATGTCTTTACTGGCACTTTTGATCAATTTAACGCGTCCTTGATGAATAAAAGCATTAATTTTGAGTGGTAGTGATGATTTTTGTAAGCAGCTGCGTTGATACGCGAGTCTTTACGGCTCTCAGAGGAATGTGTCACACTAATGTAGGTCTGTAATGATGTCAACTTGTTATTAATATTTACTTTACAAATGTGAATGACTGTGCAGGGCAAAAGGAGAATTAATCCGATGCTGTGTGACCTTCCATGCACAAAATACAGCAGTGGGGGAGGGAGACGAGTCTGCGGTCACACGACTAGACATTTAACATATGACATTTTGTTCCTAGTTTATGAAATTATAAAATAATAAAACTTAAAAACAGTCATTACACCATGTCCTGACAGCACAAGACAAGACAAAGCAGGAACCTTTATGACGGGCATTTATTGGTCACATGGTTTCTATGTTTATAATGTCACTCCTATAAGCCCCGCCCACATTGAAATCACATTGGTCCAAAATTTCACTAAAAATAACCGTACATTAAATATCAAATATGATTTGATTGGTTGTGAATGTGTCGCATCGCGCAGAGCCTGATTAGAATATAGTGTTAAAATAACGTTGTGTATACGTTATAATTAGGTTGTCACACAAAAACCTCTGCAATGTTAGTTTATGGTCATAAAATATGAAATCGCCAGAATGACAGGATTTGTCTCCCAAAAAAAAAATATGGGAATCATTGATTAACAGTGCAAAAACCTCCCTCAAACGTTATGCGAATGTTAGTTTAAGGTTATTAACGATAACCAAGCATACAAGAACCTATTAGGAATTGCCTTCCAGAAAGCCAGTGCATGCTAACTAAGTCATGTATGCTAGAAAGTATTTAACAGTGAAAGGCACAGAAGGATGATAGCGGTGTTATTTCTCAGGGGATGTGTGCCGATTTCGTGCTGTTGAATAAGTAGGTTTAAGGTCAGCTGCTCATTTTTTCATTGTGGGTCACAAAGTGCAAAGCTCCTCCCCCATTCTCCACGGCTGTGTCACAATACCTGGCGAGCGCCCTACATAGACAGCATGGATGATCCTTTATTCAAAAGATGAAATAGTCTTAATTTTGATTTAGTTCAAAATTGTTTATTGCAAAATCACTTTATAGTTATAGAACTGTATATTCTGTGAGTTTCTTTATTTTTCAACTTGTGCATTCATGCATGCATAGATATGTGTGAAGGTAGTTTACTAAGTGATCAGATGCACAAGTTTCACCGGCAGTTTGATAAAACAGGTGAAAAAACACCTAATTAAAGAAGGGACTTGAGCCATATCTAAAGTTTATGTTTAATAGTAAGACTTTTTATACAAAATTGAATTACAAATGCAAAATTATATTTTACTATTTAACATTTAAAATAAATATAATACTGCATTTAATTCAATGTTGTATTAAAAAGCCTTACTATTTAAAATTTAAAATATAATTTTGCATTTTAATTTAATTGTGCATGACAATGCTTCACTGTATAAAATAAAAATATATAATTTGGCCATTTTTAATTCATTTTTATATAAAATCTCTTACAAAAGTCTTACTATTTAACATTTTAAAAATATAATTTAGCATTTTAATTCGGTTTTGTATAAAAAGCCATACTATTTAAAATTGACAGTATACTTTTGAATTTTAATTTAATTGTGCATAAATTGCTTTAGTGTAAATAAAAAAATATAATTTTGCCATTTTTAATTAAATCTGCTATAAATGTCTTACAAAAGTCTTACTATTTAACATTTAAAATAAGTATAGTTTAGCATTTCAATTCAGTTTCGTAAAAAGCCATACTATTTACAATTTACAGTATACTTATGCATTTTAATTTAATTGTGCATAAATATGCTTTACTGTAAAAAATAAAAATAGCCTATATAATTTTGCCATTTTTGATAAAATTTTATATAAAATCTCTTACAAAAGTCTTACTATTTAACATGTAAAATACCGGCAGTTTGATAAAACAGGTGAAAAAACACCTAATTAAAGAAGGGACTTGAGCCATATCTAAAGTTTATGTTTAATAGTAAGACTTTTTATACAAAATTGAATTACAAATGCAAAATTATATTTTACTATTTAACATTTAAAATAAATATAATACTGCATTTAATTCAATGTTGTATTAAAAAGCCTTACCATTTAAATTTTTAAAATATAATTTTGCATTTTAATTTAATTGTGCATAAATATGCTTTACTGTAAAAAATAAAAATAGCCTATATAATTTTGCCATTTTTGATTACATTTTATATAAAATCTCTTACAAAAGTCTTCCTATTTAACATGTAAAATAAATATAATTTAGCATTTTAATTCAATTTTGTATAAAAAAACAATACTATTTACAATTTACAGTATACTTTTGCATTTTAATTTAATTGTGCATAGAAATGCTTTAGTGTATAAAACAAAAATACACAATTTTGCCATTTTTTATTACATTTTATATCAAATCTCTTACAAAAGTCTTACTATTTAACATGTAAAATAAATATAATTTAGCATTTTAATTCGTTTTTGTATAAAAAAGCCTTACTATTTAAAATGTGATATATAAATAATACCGAAGCATGTATTAAAATGCTTTACTGTATAAAATAAAAATACATAATTTTGCCATTTTACTTAAATTTTCAATAAAATGTCTTACTGTTTATTGTGTACAGTACCAATACTATATAGAATTAGTAAGAGTAGTGTCCTAGTGTAGTAGCCTAGGTAGGGCGCTCGCGAGGTATGAGAACACAGCCCTCTCGCTCTCTGTAGCGCGTGCGCTGTCTTCCGACGCTCCGTTCTGCGAGAAACACAGGAAACTAGTCTAAAAACACACCGGATCGACGTTTAAACGTTAACTTTGGCAGATGAAACCTCGATTGTTGTTTCACGTCGACCTTTTAACGGAATACCGCGGATAACCGAGCGCTGAGGGGGAACTGACCGAAGATGGGTGTAAAGTCGCGGCTCGCACACTGAAGTTGGAGGATATTTTCCCGGAGGAAGTGAAAGAGAAGCGGCAGCTTCATTGTTGACGGTAAGGAGAGGCGATATTTCCCTCGTTTGGACTTTTTCTGTGTGGATTATTCTCTTGGAAGTGTTTGTGAGGTAACTCGCGAGCCGGGAACTTTCCCACTCCCCTCCGTGAGGCTCCGTCGCCGCTAAAGTCTGATTTCCTCGGTGTCCCGTTTTTGTTGAGCACCTCAGAGAGGATATGTGCACTGATGAACACTCGATAGGGATCATTTCGTGTTGGTTTTGTGGTGAAACGCGCTGAAAGTAGCCGCCAGATTTAGCGGCACATGCTAACAGGGTTGCCAGGTTTCCACAAAACCCGCGCGATAGATACTCAAAACTAGTTCAAACGCTTTTCACGGGGGTTTCCACCGGTACAAATCGCGTTCCCGGGGGTTAAATGCACGTTTTTTTTGTGTGTGTGTGTGTGTAAAATTCGCATTCAGTGGGCTAAATATCCCGTTACTGATGTCGCTTCAACCCGCCGCAACAGTATTAAAGTAGCCCGATTTCCGCGGACCTGGCAACACGGCGAGGCGGGTGGGGGAAGGGCCGCTCCTAGTTCTGTTACTTTGCTAAGAAACACATGTTCACTTATTCAAAAGAGTCGCGTTCTCTAACGTTAATGCAGAAAGGAAACTGTGAAAAGTGAAATGCTCTTAAGGCTAGTCATGATCTCGATCTACAATGAGAGTGATTTAACAGGGTTAGTTTGTTTTGCACACTAACGTGCTTTTCTCAAGGATTGTTACAGTGTTTATCAGAAGCTGAAACCCTGGATCACTTGTTGATCTCAGTGATTTAGCTGCATGAATCCAAATCAAATTAATTGAGTACAAACTGCTGTTCAAAAAGTTTGGAATCGGTAAGATGTTTAATGTGTTTTACAGAAGTCTCTTCTGCTCATCAAGGCTGCATTTATTTTACCAAAAATACAGAAAAAATAGTAATATTGTTAAATATTATTACCATTTAAAATACTGGTTTTCTATTTCAATATCCATTAAAATGTAATTTATTTCTGAGATGCAACGCTGAATTTTCAGCATCATTACTCCAGTCTTCAGTGTCACATGATCTTCAGAAATATGTATTATCAATGTTGGAAACAGTTTTTGCTGCTTAATATTTTTTTGGAACCTGTGATACTTTTTTCAGATTTGATGAATAAAGTTTAAAAAGAACAGCGTTTATTTAATTAAAATAGACATCTTTTCTAACAATGTGAGTCTTTATTATCACTTTTTAAAATCAATTTAACACATCCTTGCTGAATAAAAGCATTAATTTCTTTCAAACAAAACAAAAGGGGAAAAAATACTGACCCTAAACTTTTGAACGCTAGTGTATATTGTTACAAAATATTTCTATTTTGAATAAACGCTGTTCTTTTTAACTTTTAGTTCATCAAAGAATCCTGAAAAAAGTATCGCAGGATAGTCGAGTGGCTGATAAAATGCCAATATACAGGCTGTTTATTTATACAATATTTACAATATTTGATAACAGGACATTTACAGTCTGAAGGCTAAACAGGAGCAGCGTCCGTGAGGAAAGCAGACAGGCATTAGAGAGACTTCTTGTCTTATTTTGCGTAATAAAATTCAGAAGTCTTTTTATGAATGTTTTTGTAGGATGTGCAGCCTCTTCATCACCACAGGCCTTTTTGTGTTCTGATGTTGGGAAACATATCTTTTACGGATCAATATGAGAGCATAATCTAATAATCCTGAATTATTTAACACGACCACCACAAAATAGTGTTCCTCATCTGAAGCACATTTATTTTCAGTAGTTTGTCAGTAGCTGTAGATGTTACACCGTAAACAAATATTGGTTAAGATAGTCCATTTTTAATTGCTGGAGAATTTGTTTTGTTTATATTTCTCAGGATTCGTCCACCATTTTTTCCACTGAGCTCATCGCAGTGCATTATGGGATTGCTTTGTCTGTTAAGGATGCATGTAATTCTGGGCCCTATGATTTCAGAGATGCGGAAAACGTGAACCGAATCACAGAATCCGGTCATAAAAATTAAATTGACACATTTACAGTATAATGTAACACTTAAAATAATAAACAAAAATTCCTTATTATATAATTGATTTTAATCTAATTTATATGTATTTGTGTACTTATGTATTTACTCATTTATTTACTTATTTAAATCTATTTTTGTTTATTTTAATCAATTTTTATTTAAATTAGTTTTTTCTATTTATTTAATTTGTTTTTTTGTTGGATTTATTCATCAGATAATACTGAAAAAGGTATCACAGCTTCCAAAAAAAATATTAAGCAGCAAAACTTGTAATAAAATGAGCAGAAGAGACTTCTTTCAAAAGTAATAAAAATCTCACTGATCCCAAACTTTTGAACGGCAGTGTATGTTCTGTATGTATGTTTATATAAATTACATGTTTCACAGCGTTACAGTTAGTCATAACTTATACTTAGCCTCCAACTCACACACTGGCGAGTAAAATCTGAGAATTTATTAGCCATTGGCTAATATTAGCAATCAATTAGTCGCCAGAGTGACGATTTAGTTGCATATGCGAGTGATTTACTCGCAATGTAGAGGGTTGAGTCACCTTTATTTATACGGTGCTTTCTACAGCATAGATTAGTTTGAAAGCAGCTTTACAGTGTTAAACAGGAGAATAGGGATTCAGTGATGCAGCTCTAGAAAGACAATAGTAAACAGTCATTATTTAATGCGGTAAAATCACTGTAACTACAGTCTTACTGCTTTATTAGACTTCAGTTTGTCCGGCTTTAAATCCAGTGATTGATCAGTCAGAGGAGACCAGCCAGGAGAAAATGGCATCTGAGAGCACATCTGTCAGAGGAGACCAGCCAGGAGAAAATGAGGCCCTCTGCAGCCTCGCATGCGTCTGCTTTCTTCTCACCATTCATCATTCCTGTGGTTTCGTTTGGCTCTGTGCTTGTGACTTTTTTTTAATCCTTCCTTTATATATTAACCTAGTTTGTATTCGTTCAACAGGCGTGTTTTTACGCCACTCAGGAGAAAATGGCTGCTGTTTGCAGATCCTGAGAAGACCAGCCAGGAGAAAATGAGGCTCTGCAGCCTCGCATGCATCTTTCGTCTCGCCCATCCTGCTTTCCACATTAATCATTCCTGCGGTTACTTTTGGCTCCACGCTTGTGACGATTTTATCCTTCCTTTATATATTAACCTAGTTCGTATTCATTCAGCAGGATTGTTGTTAATGTCCTTTTTAAGACCTGCTGACGTTAACCGTTTCACTACTTCTGTGGTCTTTATCGCTTCTTTTTATACTCGTGGTTTTGTGGCAGGGTTATTATAGTTAACTGAACAAATACAACCATAAAAAAACATTTTCGGTGCTTGAAATAAAATAAAATAATTTTATTTAAGCTGTTTGCCAAGGCAACATTTCTCATTTTTTAGTTTAACTTGATGTACTAAAGTAACTAAAACCAAAACTGTATAGACATAAAAAAAAAACGAATAAAAATGACAAAACACAACAAAATTACTAAAACTTTAAGTGGTAAGAAAAAAAAAACAATAAAATAAAAATACAACTAAATAAAATACGCGAAGATATTCATCTGAAATGGTTTAATCAGACTGCATTATAGTATATTATATTATTTTGTAATATAAAATATAATTTTGTAATATAGTATATTATATATTATTTTGTAATATAAAAAAAAAAAAATATATATATATATATATATAACATATATAAAATAAAACTACAACTGAAATAAAAACTATATATACTCATTTAAACTAATAAAAATCACAAAACAAAATTACAAAAACTAAAAATAAAATATAAATGGAAATATAAAAATAAAAACTAAATAGAAATATTAGTAAAAACTATAATACTATCTTGATACTAAAATAAATAACATTTTGTGGCTGCAGGGCTAAAAAGAAAAGACTAAATATTAATATTTATTCACACTTATTTTACAGGCTATATAAAATTAAGCAACATTGTGAATGTAGATGATTTTAAAGTATGTTTATTAGAAAAATAAAGGCTGTTCCATTAGACTAGTTTCATGATCCTTCCTTGTCGTGATTTATTTTAGCTTGATTATCTTTTATTGTGCTTTACTTACATTAAACATTTAGAAAATCACTGGTTTCAGAGCAAATGCATCAACTGCTCATGTTCTGCTTTGTTCAGTCACGCTTCAGGAAGCGCTGGGTTTATTTCTGGAGCACATTAGTCAGCGAAACCAGCCGAGATGCATATGAGCTCCAATATAAGATGATGCATCTATTTATCTTGTGCAATGAAACCCAGTCGTCTTCAGCTCAATGACACTGGCTGTGATTGTAACACTGGTGTGTTTTTGTTAATTGGACAGCAGTTTGTTCAATTCTGCACTGTTTAGTGAACACTTATGAACAGGACGGTCACGTCACATTCTGATTCTAATCTCACTGCCGTTTGTCTCTTTGACAGTCATGATGATCACATTAGGCGACTTCTGAAGTCATGATGGTGTTTTGCATTGGACTCAAACATGCACAATGCCAAATAAACACCCTCACTGTATTTTTTTCGGGAATATAAGTCGTTTTAATCATCTGAAACAACTTTATCTTCTGCGACTTAAATTTCAAAGCGACTTATATAATGCAATTAGGATGTAGTTGAGTTTGTGTCTTCATCAGATTTGGAGAAATGCAGCATTGCGTCAGTGCCTCAGCAATGGATGCTCTGCAGTGAATGGGTGCCGTCAGAATGAGAGTCCAAACAGCTGATAAAAACATCACAATAATCCACAAGTAATCCACAGCACTCCAGTCCATCAGTTAACATCTGGAGAAGACAAAAGCTGAAACTAATCCAGCATTAAGACGTTTTTAACTAAAACATGAGTCCATAATCCATAATAACACTTCCTCCAGTGAAAAAGTGCATCTGCTGTTGTCTCTCACATCAAAATCCAGCCACATATGTGTTTAGAGCTGTTTAAACGCTGCTTGATCTGTGCAGATTTCTCTCCTGATTCAGACCAGAACACTTTTGAGGATTAGGCCTACTTTTAATTAACTTACATTTACTTCATACATTTAATACTGACACAGCACGTGGTGTCTAGAGGCCGCTCTCGTACTGTATAATGACAGCGGACCTTCTCAGATTTTTCTGGTTAAAATTGTGATTTAAATGCGATTTTTAAAACAAATTAACAAAAAAATAACAATATGATAGATAAAAATATATGATAAGATAATAAAAATACTCATTTTATTTTACAGAAAACTATTGTTTTACAGAAAACTGCAGGGTTACTTGTTAACATACAGGCCTATAACTGTACATCATTTGATACTGTTATGATAAAAATTGTTGACAGTAATTTCTTAACTTTTATCAGGAGGTATGTAAACTCAAAAATGGAGTCCGTGTCTTGAAAAAATTAAATATGAGCCTTTTATACGTCCACTGTGGGGAAGGAAAAAAGAAAGAAAGAAAAGAACTCCTGCACACTTCAATACACTGTTTAGTTTAGTTTATTTATAAAGCACATTTAAATACACAAGAGGTGTTGAAACCAAAGTGCCGTACAACAAATATAAAACAAACTTAAAAACATACATAATCAAGAAAAAAAAGGACAAATGAAAAATTATACACCCTCAAACAGAATTAAAACATACAGAATAAAAATGAATAAACTGGAGAAAAACATGGATTATCATATGTTTGCTTCAAATTTCTTTAGAGAGAAGTATTATTTTTCCTATTTATGGCCTATAATAGGACTTAGTGCTAAACTCATGTAATGTCGGTTTCATTCATACTAGACGCCAGAGGGCGCCCTCGCGCAAAATCTCAACATATACATAACAGAAGTAATAGAACTCGTGACGTTCCAGGAAATCCCTAATATGGATAAAGACATCCAGCTACCACTGTGACTCAATTAAAAGAAGCTAGAAACGTATGAACTGATTAAACATGAAGACAATAAACCTATGACAATATATGGTTTACCTGTGTTCTTCACTCCATCTCGGGTATTTTCATAATAATAAAGTCAATTTATAATGCAATGCTAATCGACAGAGCTTTTATTACAGTATAAATATATATTCATTCTGTAATAAGCCACATCAGATCAGAAAATGAACTTATTTTAAAACACTCGACTGATGTTCATGTAAAATCATGTTATAATGTTTTCAACAACATGTTTATAACCGCTTCTCATTAAGTTTGAGAGGATGTTTTGAGTGTGTTCCTTCATCAGGTAAACGTTATTTAGCGACTCAAACTCGCAGCGCTTGCAGAGATGAGCAGCATTTACTACAGGCGCTGTGCAGATACAGGGCTCCAGACTGCGACCAAATAGTCGCATTTTGCATTTTTCCTGCTGGTGCGACAAATTTTTTTTTAGAGGTCGCAAAATTTTAATATAATTGTATTTAAAATTAATGCACAGGCAATTTCGTTAATGCGGCCTATGCCATGCCTCATCTTATTCATTTTTGTTAATAAACGTTTTGTAAGCTAGTTTGTCATTGTATCTTACTGATTTATTGTTGTTGTGCTTTTTAATTAAGAATAACAATGAATCCATCTTTTGTTTTAGTCTCAAAAAGTGAGGTGTGTAGATCTTTTCTTGTAAAACGTGACAAGATCGCGAATTCGAAAGTGAAAGCACCCGAAGCCCGGTTTATGACACAGCAAAAGAGAAACTCCCGTTCACAAAATTCAAATCACAAATAATACTACTGATGAAAAAGAACGGGTTGAATGTTAACCTCTTTCGTTTCCATGTAACTATAAATTATGATAAAAGTTCATCAGCATGCATTGATTAATCCCATGATGTAGCGCTAAAAAAATTAAAAATATTGCGACCAAATCATGTGCTCGTGCGACCATCTGAGAAAGTTAGTCGCAAAAGAGCGACCAGTGGGACGAATGAGTCTGGAGCCCTGAGATATTTATTTCATTAAAAATAGCAGCCTATGCGATTCAATCACATCAAGCCAAATCGTGACTTCGGTTGGAATCGTTCAGCCCTACCGGAAAACTATCGGCATGGATTTTTGCCGATAGTTCCAGCAATCAACTATTGGTGCCGATTAATCGGCAAAACCGTTTGTGTGAGTTTGGTTATGTGTATCAGGCGGTGTTATTTTAGCATTATTTATATACGATTAAAGTTTTTATTATGAATATTTTGAATGAGTTTTTATTTTCATGTTTTTGTAATTTTGTTGTGTTTTTGTCATTATTTGTTTTTGCTTTTTAAAATGTCTATGGGTCAAAGACGAAAAAGGGTTTAAGCATAAAACCATTAAGTGTAATACTGCTTTAAATTGTTGTTGTTTTTCCCCCCAAAAAATGTAAACATTTTCTGTTTAATTTAATTGCAATTTTGTTTTTGTTTTTCTGAGCAAAAAATAAATATCTTACATCTAATTACTTTCACCCCAAATACTAATTAGTTTTTAAATTATTTTTTTATTTTTTATTTGCCACTATCCTAGGTTGTGCCCAGTTGTCAGTAAGAATTTTTTACTAATTTAAAACACAATAAAATTTAATATGCTCCCTTACTCTTTTATATATTTTAATATGTACAAGTCAGAATAAGCATGTTGTTTGAATTTTAAATAAATATTGTGTTACACTGAATGACAAAGTAACATTATTTCAACCAAATTTTGACATTTTATTACTTATTTGAAACCTTAAAAGTAGACACTTTACTTACATTTAATGTGCTTTCTATGGACATAAAATCTCTTTTGATGCGGACATCTTAATGTCTTTGACCCCTACATAGTTCTTATTCATTTTTAATTTGTTTGTTATTTTAGTACTTCAAGTTAAACTAAAAGAAACAAAAATGTTTTTGGTTTTAATTATTTTTTTTAATTTAAATGATACTTTGTTGCATTTGATTTTTCAGAATGGACCGTTTCATAACTAAAGCATGAAATGTATGAATGTGGTGTTTCCCGCAGGGGCCGATCGTGAGCTCCAGCGCTGCTCATCCTCTGAGGTGGAGCTAAGATGAGCATTACCAGTGATGAAGTCAACTTTCTGGTCTACAGGTATCTGCAGGAGTCAGGTAAACATCCCGCAAAATCTCCCCAAACTGCTCTGAGATGAGCTGACGTTCATAAAGGCATGTTTAGTCACATTTCCTCATTGGTTGAACTAAAGCCGGTGTCTTTGGCCTTTGTGCTGTAGGTTTCTCTCACTCGGCGTTCACGTTTGGCATCGAGAGCCACATCAGTCAGTCGAACATCAACGGGACTCTGGTGCCTCCTGCTGCCCTCATCTCCCTCCTGCAGAAAGGCCTTCAGTACGTGGAGGCCGAGATCAGCATCAACGAGGTGAGCGTCTCGTCGTCTTCATTAACCATCATTAATTATCTGGATTTTTGCATTAATAACTTTCACCTGCTGTGAGTCATAATAAATAGACATGTTTTTTCTTATTTAAAAAAAAAAATCTAAATAATGAAATTAAAAAATAAACAAGGATTTTATTGTTGGCTTTTACTTTCTCTGACAAGAATTTCACTGACCATGAAGCAAAAATAAACTATTTTGCTATTATAGCAACATTGTAAATTTAATCAAGTGTGTCTAAACCAGTGTTTTGTTTTGTTTTGTTTTTAGTGTCATTGTGATAAATAATTTTTATTTTTATTTTCTCAGTTTATTTAGTTTTATTAATTTTTAAAAAATATTTATATGTTTATTAATTACTAAAATGTTATTAGATTAAATTAATTATTAATGAATTATTGTAATATTATTATTATTATTCATTGTATTATTTTAAAATGTAAACAACCTTTTTTTTTCCTCCTTTTTTTTATGGTTTTAGTTTACTATAATAACCCTGGTCTGAACTTTTGATTTACATTGACATTAAAAAACATTTTAAACTTAAATGCTTGAAATGATCTATGAATTTTTAAAACATATATTAAATCATAAATATAAAACTGTTAATAAAATAATAATTTAATACAGTTAATAAAATGCTGACTGTATATGTGTGTACTTTATATATACATAATAAATATACACAGTATACACACATATATTACATAAACAACAACTTTTATTTTGGATGCGATTAATCGTTTGACAGCACTACTGAAAACATTAACGAAATTAATAACATTTTGAAATTTTGATGAAAATGCATTTTTCTAGTTATGCCAAACTCTTAAATAGGTTGAGTAAACATGCAGAGAAATTGCCATTTGTGAGTTTGTTCATTTTGAAGTGACCGCAAACAAGTGAAACAATTCACTATCAAACCATGAAGAAATCCAAATACTTCCCAAAGGATGTTTGCATTTCTGCTTGTTTGTGTCGCTTCAGCCTGTGTATTGTGTTTTATTTGACTGTAGGATGGCACAGTGTTTGACGGCCGTCCGATAGAGTCTCTGTCGCTCATCGATGCCGTGATGCCAGACGTGGTTCACTCCAGACAGCAGGTGATCAGAGACAAACTCGTCCAGCAGCAGAAAGCCCACTTCTCCAACCCAATATCCGCGGTGAACGGAGAGGAGAACGGCACCCACGCACTCAGTAAGTCATTGATCTGACACAGAAGCTAACACAGACATACCTCTAATGATCTTTAAGCTGAAGTCAGGACTAGTCTGCATGAGCTGAATAAAGCAAACCAGTGTCTCACCAGTAAAGTTCAGACGGATGACGATTGTAATGAAGGTCAGGGCTCTAGACTCCCACTGGTCACTCTTTTGCGACTAACTTTCTCAGATGGTCGCACGAGCACATGATTTGGTCGCAGTATTTTTTATTTACTTATTTATTTTGCGCTACATCATGGGATTAATCAATGCATGCTGATGAACTTTTATCATAGTTTATAGTTATATGGAAACGAAAGTGATTAACATTCAACCCGTTCTTTTTCATCAGTAGTATTATTTTGTGAACGGGAGTTCCTCTTTTGCTGTGTTATAAGCTGGGCTTCATGCGCTTTCACTTTCGAATTTGCGAACTTGTCACGTTTTACAAGAAAAGATCTACACGCCTCACTTTTTGAGACTAAAACAAAAGATGGATTCATTGTTATTCTTAATTAAAGAAGCACAACAGCAATAAAACAGTAAGATACAATGACAAACTAGCTTACAAAACGTTTATTAACAAAAACGAATAAGATGAGGCATGGCATACACCACATGCTGTATTATATAC